GTAATAAAAAGTGTACTTTCCTCTATGCCACTTAGAAGGTACCCTGTAATGGTTTTGCAAAGGATATGGCCTATGTTGGATACTTCATGAGGAGAATTAAGAAACGGGCAGATATGATGCTATTTAAGGGGGACATTTTGCGGTCTTCAAAAGATCGCCTAGGGGTAAAAAATGTTTAACCGAAATTTCAAAAAAGGCATGATCGGCTATAAAATGAGTACAAGAAAAAAATATATTGTTCATCACGTTTTCCATAACATATACTGTAATTTGTAGGGACATATAAAGAAAAAAACGCACTACTTAAGTAGTTATATTTTACTGAGGGCCAATTTTGCAGAAATCCGAGAAAAAGTGCCTTTTATAATCGAAAACATAGTTCAGAAGCTCGATTAACTTTTTAGGCATTCGGACAGTGAGTGTACGTATCGTGGATCATTGTGGAAATTTATTTAGAATTTACTCACCCACCAATGGCATCCCGCTTTTAAAAAAAAAAATCAAACAAAACTGGGCGTAGCAACTGCGTAGGCGTGTGCCAGAAATAGAAAGGCTCACTGGCCGCAGTAGTTCGCAAACCAGCGGTAAATCTAGATTAAGATGCATGCTTGCATATAAAACGCGGGATAGAGTGCAGCAGCGAAGGTTTGAAAGGCGATATAACGCGCTCGAGAGGGAGAAAGAGAGACTTCAATACACTGACAAAGGCAAAAATAGAAAGAGTCTGGACTGTTGACAGGGCAAGACAGGCAGTAAAGGTGGGCCTGACAAAGCCTGACAATCTGATTTCCGGCTCGCCTACTGTATCTGTGTGCGTTCGCGGTGTAGCCTATCAGTTAGATGAGTGAGCGTGTGTGTTTGGCTTTTTCCTTTTTCGTGAATTGATCCCTGCGAATGCCCCGCTGAACAAAAGTTACCGAGCGCACTCTGCAAAATTCTTCACACAGAGAATTGGCAGCCAGAACTTCGGTTTCTCCGCGGTCTACACCCTCCAGAGTGGGATTTCCTGAGACACCTGTGTACGAATGACTTTGGGTAACCAATGGCCTCATATAGAGCATGCAAGTACTTTCTCTCCTCCTTCCTCTCATCGTAATCCTGCAGTTTGTTTAAGCGTGTTTCAAAAGAGTCTTGATGCAACTGCGATTGTGACCGACGGAGCGGTTATTTCTGAAGTGAGAGAGGCGCGTAGTGTTGGTCGCCTTACCATAGATCGCTGTTCTTATCTTTCCGTATGCCAACCTTCTAACTAGTACGTCGAGAAAGGGAAAGTGATTCCTGGCTTCCTCTTCCATGGTAAACTGTGTGTCACGGACGCTCCAAAAGGAGGGCAATAACCGATCGGTCCACCATCTGATGAGGGGGAGGCCCAC